TAGAGGAGAAAGCAGGAAAAGACCTCTCTGACCTCAGCCGTAGCAATCTCTTACTCGACACATTCCCAAAGGCAAGGGAATTAAAAGCAAAAGTGAATTACTGGGACCTTATGAAGATACAAAGCTTCTGCGCAGCAAAGGAAACAACCAACAAATCTAAAAGGCAACCAACGGAATGGGAAAAGATAGTTGCAAATGACATATCGGACAAAGGGCTAGTATCCAAAATCTATCAAGAGCTCACCAAACTCCACACCCGAAAAGCAAATAACCCAGTGAAGAAATGGGCAGAAAACATGAATAGACACTTCTCTAAAGAAGACATCCGGATGGCCAACAGGCACATGAAAAGATGTTCAGCGTCGCTCCTTATCAGGGAAATACAAATCAAAACCACACTCAGATATCACCTCACGCCAGTCAGAGTGGCCAAAATGAACAAATCAGGAGACTATAGATGCTGGAGAGGATGTGGAGAAACGGGAACCCACTTGCACTGTTGGTGGGAATGCAAATTGGTGCAGCCCCTCTGGAAAGTAGTGTGGAGGTTCCTCAAAAAATTAAAAATAGACCTACCCTATGACCCAGCAATAGCACTGCTAGGAATTTATCCAAGGGACACAGGAGTACTGATGCATAGGGGCACTTGTACCCCAATGTTCATAGCCGCACTCTCAACAATAGCCAAATTATGGAAAGAGCCTAAATGTCCATCAACTGATGAATGGATAAAGAAATTGTGGTTTATATACACAATGGAGTACTGCATGGCAATGAGAAAGAATGAAATATGGCCTTTTGTAGCAACGTGGATGGAACTGGAGAGTGTGATGCTAAGTGAAATAAGCCATACAGAGAAAGACAGATACCATATGGTTTCACTCTTATGTGGATCCTGAGAAACTTAACAGAAACCCATGGGGGATGGGAAGGAAGAAAAAAAAGAGGTTAGAGTGGGAGAAGGCCAAAGCATAAGAGACTGTTAAAAACTGAGAACAAACTGAGGGGTGATGGGGGGTGGGAGGTAGAGGAGGGTGGGTGATGGGTATTAGGAGGGCACCTTTTGGGATGAGCACTGGGTGTTGTATGGAAACCAATTTGACAATAAATTTCATATATTGAAAAAAATAAAAAAATTAAAAAAATTAAAATAAAATAAAATAAAATAAAATAAAATGTATTCTTATTTCACTGTTCACACTTGCAATGAAATGCAATACTGTGTACTTCTTTCAACTAACCTGCTGTCTGACAATTGCATGTCTTCTCCATCGGAACAATTTGCTCACAACCCTATTTAAACATGAAGTTTCCATTTTGGAAATGATATTCAATCTTACTTCAAATACACTCACATAAAAATAATGCATTTATTAAAGCCAAAGATATTTAATAACCCTGACAAGGGCCATCCAAGAGATGGGTGCAACATGGCCATTACATCCCGAAGTTTCTGATTCTTGGATCTGGCAGCAGTGGGCAGAGAGCATCCCTCAGGAAAGCAAATTGACTTTTCCCTTTAGCTTAGAAAATGTGTCACATAAACTGGGCAGATATAACAGAACATTTTTGATATATTCATCATATTATTTACACTATCAAATCACCTTTGCATAATTAAATGATTTTATCCTAAAGAGTATAGAAAAAGAAAGGGACATAGAAAGTCCAAGGGAAAAAAAAAAGACAGAAAGAGACACTTACATGAGAAAATTCTCAGGTCTTCTGGTCCATGTAATGAGAAAAGAGTTGGAGCCCTGGGAGTGTTCTATTGAAATAAAAAGAAAAGATTTCTGAACTAAGAACTGGGGTAAAGAAAAACACATCTGTTCATCTGTCCTACTTATCTGAACGTGGCCAGGGAAGCAGAACTGTGAGAAGTGTCCTGATGCCCACACATAAAGGCTGCATCCCAGTTGGGGTTCTCAGTCCTGGAAGGTCATACCTCTGTCCTCCCATGAACTATCATGGATCACAGTCCTGAACTCCGGTTCACTTATATTCACACCGTTTCTTAAACACTGTGAATGTGATTCCCAAACAGAAAATGAACTTGTTAGGACACTCACATAGGGCAAAGTGAAAGCAGGAAGTGGACTCTGAACAAACTGACTCATGCTTCAAATAGTAAAGGATCAAATAAGGAAGAAGATTAAAGCAGGTTTATTGATAACACGATGAAACAATCTCCTTACAGAATGAAGATAACTTTAACCCTAAATTCTTCATTTCAGTATGGAGATTCGTTTTATGAATTAGAACTTAAACCACTCTTTTCCTCTTTCAAGGAAAACAAAATTAGTGACATTCAAGTTCTCTTAATTGGCAGAAGTCAAACATGAACAATGTCACATAATGCAGACAGGAGTTCTGTGCACAAGTACAGAGGTTGTGAGATGCCTGGACCTCAACATCCTGAGAAAGAGGGTGTTTCAGGGATGAATTTTAATAGAGGGAGTCTTCTCCTTTCATCCTACTTTTGGGAGTAAGCATGGGAGCTACATATTTTAGCTGTAATATATCACAAACATCATAAATCAAGAGTAAAAATGAAAAAAAATATACTAGTTACAAAACTGGGCCAAACAACATAAACAGGTCTGATTTATGGTTACTCTGTGTTAGCCACAGATCATATATGGGTATATAAATACTTATTGAATATATGTACAACATCACTAGCCATAAAGAAAATATGAAATTAAACATGATGAGATATCATTACACATCTTTTGTAACAAATTAACGTAATGGGTCTTTTTTTTTTTATTGTTTATTTATTTTTGAGAGACAGAGCATGAGCAAGGGAGGGGCAGAGAGTGATGGAGACACAGAATCCAAAGCAAGCTCCAGGGTTTGAGCCATCAGCACAGAGCCTGACACGGGGCTCGAACTCATGAAAGGTGAGATCATGACCGGACCTGAAGGCAGACACTTAACCAACTGAGCCACCCAGGGACCCCTGTTTTGTTTTGTTTTTAAGTAACAATGCCAATACTTGTAAAGATAAACTGGATCAATCATACATTGCTAATAAGAATGTAAAATGGTACACAGACTCTGAAAATAATAATTTTGTAATTTCTACTAAAAATAAACATCCAAATGCCATGACACAATAATTGTAAGTGTTGAGAATATTCACAGAGATATAAAAATTATGTCCACATAAAATGTTTACAGATGTTCATAAAGCTAATTGGTAATAGTCAAAACTTTGAAATACTCCAAATGTCCTTCAGGGGGTGAGTCATTAATCAAACTGTGCACATATGTACTATGGTTTACTACTTGTAATAAAAAGGAAAGTATTGGTACATAAATGAACTTGAATGGATCTCAGTGGAATTACACTGTGAAAAGTTAATGACAAAGATTGGGTACTGCATGTGTCTATTCATATAATGTTCATTTTCTTTTTTAAACTTTTAAACATTTATTCATTTTTGAGAGACAGAGTATGAGTGGGGGAGGTGCAGAGAGTGAGAGGGAAACACATAATCCAAAGTGGGCTCCAGGCTCTGAGCTATCAGCACAAAGCCTGATGCAGGGCTTGAACTCATGGGCCTCGAGATCATGACCTGAGCTGAAGTTGGACGCCTAACTGTCTGAGCGACACTGGCACCCCCAAATAATGTTATTTAAAGAAAAAAAATATATAAATGGACAATAGATTAGTGCTTCACACGTGTTAGGAACTGGAAATGGGTTTGAGGTGCGGGTTGGAAGGCAAATGTGACTCTAAAGGGGTAACCCAAGACATTTTTGTTGTGAGTGTACTTTTCTATTTCTTGGTTGAGGTTGTTACCCAAATTTACACATGGAGAAAAATTTCATAAAACTACTCTCTCACACACACAAACACACATGCAAAATGTGTATAGCAACTGGAACAGCTTAATAATGTTTGTGGAGTATAGTCAATTCAATTTCCTGGTTATGATATTATGCTGGTGTTATACAAAATATTACCACAGAGGGAGACAGAGGAAGCGATTTCTCTGTATTATTTTTTCTACTTTTCATAAGTTTATGGTTATTTAAAAATGTTTAAAAGTTTAAAATTCAAAATTAAAGAAGTACAAAGTCATAGTAAAATTACTGATACTAAATAATAGGTTGATTTTATATGTAGGAAAGAAATGTCGTCACATGATTAGATACACTGTAATGTATGGTATGGAAAAATAAATTAGCTTTCTATAAAATGTGTGTCATTTAAAATAGTAAGAACAAAATAGGAGTTATCAATAAAATAAAAAAAAAACTCACTGAAAATAAAGCACATGAATGCTTAAGACAGAGAACTAGAAGGCAGGATAACAGATTTCAAAGAAAAATCTCGCATATTAATATAAGAAGGTATAAACATAAGGATAAATAAATAAAATAGTGTTAAAAAGAATATCTTCTGGGGAGCCTATGTGGTTTAGTCGATTAAGTGTTTCTGAGTTCCAGCCATGAAACTCTCTGAGCTGATGTCACAGAACATTCTTGGGATTATCTCTCTCTCTCATTCTCTGCCCTTCCCCCAATCATCTCCCTTCTTTCAATCTCCCTCTCTCAAAATAAATAAACTAAAAATTTTGAAAAAAAAAACATTTTCTAATTTCAAAAACCCTTTGCTGTTGAAGAAGTTTTGGAAATTAGAAGATACTCTTGACTTATTAAATAAGCATTGTATTTAGTATGTTCACTCAATTCTAAATCCTTATGGCAAACTGATATTTAAAATAAATAAACTTCAGGGATTCTGGTTTCCATTATGGCATATAAGGAAGGGACTAAGAAGTCCTCACTCCCATTCTCACAACAAGAAAACAAAGTAAAACAAAAACAAAGAAACTCAAAATGAACAATTCTTCTTAGGTTCATCAGAAAGTTGAAATCATAGGGAAAACAGCTTCCCTCAAATTGGAAAGACCAACCAGCAGATACAGAGAATCTCAGTTTACCAAAATAGAAAACATCCATGGAACTCAGTAGAAAAATTTAAACCATACCGGATGAATAGAGGAGGATTGAGATAGATAATTTTAAGAGTCAAAAACATAAAGGAAGTCCTTCATAGGGGGGGCCCATACAGTTTTGTGAATTTTGCCTCCAGAAGCTTTTCCAGAGTTTCATAATGAAGAATGGGGAAAACTCTCCTCTTTCATACAAACAGCAAATAGAAAAAAGTGGTCAGTTTGAAATTCCCACCAAACATCCTGTTCCTAAAAGGTTTGTCCTCAAAAAAATATTTTAGCAAAGTCCAACAAACTGGGCTTACTAGAGCTTCAGTAACCTGGGGAGGGAAATGCCCAGCTCTAGCTCCTTCTAACCATTCTGTAACACTTAAGGGAAGGGGAAGAGAGACAACTGAGAAACTCTTCTACAAACCATTGTGCAAAGTCACAGACTCACTAAAAGATTGGAACCTAATTATACAACTAACATATGCCTTTTCTTCTAACCTTACCACCACATCAATAAAGATCTTGTAAAATAGCAGGGGAATACAACAAAAGAAACACATGCTTCAGACCTTATTAGTCAAGTAGAAATCTCTATGGCAAGCCAAATCCAAAAGGGGAGATAAAAATAAAAACATGACAGAAATTCAGCCTCTGATACCTACAGCTAGGGCAAACAGTAGACACAGACTAACTCCTAGCTAGATAAATATAAAATTTCCTCCTCAGTGCTTTTACCTCACACATCATGCCCAGCATTCAAGGAAAAAAGGTTACATGGCATACTAAAAGAAAGAAAAAAGATTTTGAGAGATGGAAAGAAAATCTGTATCACACTCTCATTAAGAAGAGGTGTAGAAATAGGGGCACCTGGGTGGCTCACTCGGTTAAGCCTCTGACTTTGGCTCAGGTCATGATCTCACAGTTTGTGAGTTCGAGACCCATTTCAGGCTCTGCGCTGATGAACCTGGATCCTGCTTCAGATTCTGTGTCTGCCTCTCTCTCTGTCCCTTCCCCACTCGTTCCCTCTCTCTCTCTCTCTCAAAAATAAACATAAAAAAAAACTTTAAAAGAAGAGGTGTAGAAATAATCAGACTAGGAATTTCAAGCAAAATTAATGGGATAGAATTTCTAATGGAAAATTTGTACAACATACAAAAAGAGACGGATAATGTAAGCAGAGATATGGAATCTCTAGGAAAGAATTAAAAAGAAATATCCTAAATCAAAAACAATGTAACACAAATGTAAAATGCCTTTTGGGCTCATCAATAAATTTGACATGGCTGAGGAAACACCAGTGAGTTTGATGAAAGGATAATAAAAACTTTAAAAATTGAAACTTAATGATAAAACATATGAGTAGCTAAGTACTGTGAGATAATTACAAAAAGGTGTTATATACATGTGATAAGAATACCAAAAGGAGAAGAAAGTGGTAAAAGAATATAAGAAACATTTGAAGAAATAATGGCTGGGAATATCCCAAATTAATGACAGACACCAGACCACAGATAAAAGAAACCCAGGTTGGGGCGCCTGGGTGGCGCAGTCGGTTAAGCGTCCGACTTCAGCCAGGTCGCAATCTCGCGGTCCGTGAGTTCGAGCCCCGCGTCGGGCTCTGGGCTGATGGCTCAGAGCCTGGAGCCTGTTTCCGATTCCGTGTCTCCCTCTCTCTCTGCCCCTCCCCCGTTCATGCTCTGTCTCTCTCTGTCCCAAAAATAAATAAAAGTTGAAAAAAAATTAAAAAAAAAAAAAAAGAAACCCAGGAAACATGGAAATGATAAATACCTTAAATTACAATGAGGCATGTGATATTCAAACTGCTAAAAATCAGAGACAAATACAAAAAAAAAAAAAAACTTGAAAGAAGCCATCAAGGAGAAAAAACACCTTTTATTGTAGTGGAAATAGATGCCCAAGTGACTGAGCCCCTAAGGGTCCCCTTTCTCACTCTTCAAGCAGTGGCCTTATGTAGGAGAGGACCTGTGGGGTCAGGAAGCACAATGTCTCTTGGCCTCCAGAGCCAGGTTCTGGTGTTGTCCATTTGTGGGATGTTTGCACACTCTTCTTAAGGCAGGACAGCAAGTGTGACATGTTGGTGGTGGGGTTAGCACACAGTCTGGCTATAGGACGAGGCTTCAGATGCTGTGGCACGTTGGTGGCAGGGATGGCCCCAGCCTGACTATAGGACATTTGCATGACTCCTGCTCTGCAGGGAGGGTGGGGATGGATTCCTTCTTGGTGTGTTAAGTGTCTCTGGCTGCTGTGCTGTATCAGTGGGTGGAGCTCTCAACAGAACATAACCACTGGTGTTAGCAGGTAAGAGGCAGAATTCCAGTGTCAGGATGGGTAAGGTAGACTGAGACCAGAAAATAGTTTCTTCTATTATCTTAGTTTCCAGGGAGAGTCCCTCCCATTTCCTGTCTCTATGGCAAACACTTTAAGGTTAGATATCTCCTTTACCTAAGGTCTATGCATTTTTCAAATTGGTGATTTTGTGCTGGTTTTAATTTGAGCTCTGAATGCATGGACCTTAAGCGCAGGTTTTCCAAACCCTATTGTTTTATAGTTTTCTTAAATGAAATCCCCATTGATTTTGTTTTATTTTTAAAGTGTATTTATTTATTTTGAGACAGAAAGAGTGCACAGAGGAGGGGCAGAGAGAGTGAGGGAGAGTTTCCCGAGCAGGCTTCACACTATTTGCGCAGAGCCCAATGCAGGGCTCAGTCTCAAGAACTGTGAGATCATGACCTGAGCCCAAATCGAGAGTCAGATGCTTAATTGACTGAATCATCCAGGTGCCTCAATCTCCACTATTCAAAATGCTTGGCGTTTTGGAGGCATTATCTTCTTTGTGCAGGATATAAGCATTGTGGTTCCTGATGTAGAGCTTGAATCACTCACTCCTCAGCAAAATTTGTATAGAAAGTGTGAGAGGAATACTTTGGTATCTCTCTTGATTGTGACATATCACAATGAGGTGTAGTTTTGTTGTTGTTTTTTTTTTTTTCCCAAGTGAGCCCATATCTCTGTGCCTTTCCCATCTCAATAAATCATTTATTCTTTGTGGGGACTCTGTTTATACAATTTTCAGCTTCCTTTAAGAGGTATTATTACATGAGTAGTTGTAGATTTTTTTTTATTTGAGTGTCTGTGGGAAGAGGTGAGTTGAAGATGTTGCATCATCACCATCTTAAACCCAATCTCCTATCATTTGCATGCAAATATCCACTTTTCCCGCAACAATTATTGAAGAAACTATTATTTCTCCATTATGTGTTCTTGACATCCTTATAAAAATTAATTGACTCATATGTGTAAATTTATTTCTGGACTCATATTTCTCATTAATTGGTTGATGTGATTTTTTTAAATGTCATATTATGTTTGTTAATTCATTCATAAAGAACATTCTACTGTGCGTTAACTATAAAGATGAATATGTGAAATCAAAGACATGTCTGTTTAGTGAGATAGCATAAATGGAATATGATTATGTTAGAGTTTTCTAAGATTTGCATCATATATATTGATGTAGATGTATAGAAGCTGAAGTGAAGGCAAAGTAGCCTGGAAGAAAGCATGGAAGACTTGGTATAAAAGTCACTCAATTCAGTGTCTCTCTGTAATATACGTATGTAAAGAAGAAATAAACTGTGCAATACCAAGTAAGAGATTTATATTGTGACTTTAACACAAGGCAAGTAGAAAAGAGGCAAGTTGAACAAAGCAAGTTGAAAAAACACCATAGACAGAAGGCACAACCTATGTCAATACGAGAAGCACAGGAGAAGTTTTGAAAGAGATCACCCATCTTTAGATTTGGTCATGGGGGTTCCCACCTTGGGCTCTGTGTTTAGAGATCCTCACACTGCACAAGTAATAATAATAAAACATTCTTTTTAGATATATGGATTGAATTTGGCAACAAAGTGTTTTTTTTATGTCCACACTACAATAAGTTAAAGAAAGTGTTTTTCTAGAAACATAAGGACACAGAAAGAAAGAATGATTTGAGACCTTCTTTAATAATATGAGGGGCAAATGCCAAGTGAAAGAGGACAAGTCATGACAATGAAATATTGTCACCAAGGGAAGTAGAATGGAATGGTGTCAAAAGGAGAGATAGGAAAATGGTCAGTGGGAAGGGCATAACCTATTTATTTCTCGGACACATGAAATGAAAAGGGACAGTAAACCATTTCACAGAGTATGAAGAAGGAGATGAGATTATATCACCAGATTAAATGTCAGGGTGGTATAAAGGAATGAGGAGATTAACCAAATTTTGATACAGTTTCAGGTGGTGAGGGGTGGAAAAGAATGCTTGAAAGAAAAACTTTGAATTACTAAAGGGAATAACTGACAACACAGACAGATATTGTTGAAATTAAATCCTGCAGTGTAGCCATTTGTCTATTGTACATAACCAACTGCTTTAGAGAAAAAAAAATAGCAGATTTAGGGGTTTCTGCATGGCTCAGTCAGTTAAGCATCAGACTCTTGATTTTGGCTCAAGTCATGATCTCAAAGTTCGTGGGATTGAACCCTACATTGGGCTCCACACTGAAATCATGGAGCCCACTTGGGATTCTTTCTCTACCTCTCCTTCTGCCCCTCTCCCACTCATTCTCTCTCTTTCTCCGTCTCTCTGTCTCTCAACAGAAAAAGAAAGAAAGAAGGAAAGAAAGAGAAAGGAAGGAAGGAGGGAGGGAAGGAAGGAAGGAAGGAAGGAAGGAAGGAAGGAAGGAAGAAAGGAAGAAAATGAGTAGCAAGTTTAAAATAGTCCAGGGTTAGTGATTTTCCTTCCATTCTAAATGAAGAACAAGATTGACCATTTTTATAAGACCATGTTTGAAGTGATAGGGATTTCATGTCTTTATTGAAAAGAAAGTAAAGACGGAATATGATGGTAAACATAAAAGAAATCAAAAGGCAAAGGATTAAAATTTTCTTGGTTACTGTTTAATTAGAATAATTGTGGGGCACCTGCGTGACTCAGCTGGTTAAGAGTCTGACTTCAGCTCAGGTCATTATCTCGCAGTTCATGAATTTGAGCCCCTGGTCGGGCTCTGTGCTGACGGTGTGAGCCTGGAGCATGCTTCAGATTCTGTATCTCCCTCTCTCTCCGCTTCTCTCTCTCTCTCTCTCTCTCTCTCTCTCTCTCTCTCTCTCAAAGATAAACATTGGAAAAAAAAATAAAAGAAAAAGAATAATTGCTATAGTGGAGGAACAGGGTAGAAAATAGAAGCATACGAAATTGTAATCAGAACAGAATATCTTTTGGCATTATCACTTCAAATTTCCTGTTACTAACCTTACCTACCTTACGACCATGGGGCTGAGTAGATAATGTAGTAGAGCCAAATTACCTGCACTGAAAGATGTTAAACAACATTCATCCTGCATTTCCATTAACTCACCTATTAGAACCCACTTTTACTCAAATTAGTTCCCAGAACCTAACATTTCTGTTAATTTCCATTAGCAATAAACTAGTATGGTTTTCACTGTTCTTTGGGTCTGTGAATTTGTCAGGAGAGTCTTTAGCCGATCATTTCTATTAGGTGATCAGCACAATGTATCTCTAATATTTCAGCCAGAGGAATTTGCCTAAAATACCACTTAACAAACAACTTCATTTTTCAAGAGTCCTTAATAGATTCTTATGTTTTATTTCACAATGCTAGTTTTCAATTTCTATTAGCCTCTGGATCTTAGGGCATGTACTGTTTTTCCCCTTTCTGCTTCCCAATATGGTGTATCCATTCTAGTTAGTTCTGAATCCTCATTTCTCAGCAATGCCCTCAGTACTTGACCATTTGTTTCTATATAGAAAAAGTCTTTTCATATTTATGTGTGTAAATCCAATAAGTATCCCAACATGTGGCCCATAGAAGACACTCAGTAAATATGAGACAAATGTATAATATGTCTCATTTATCTCAGTCTCCATTCATGTTATTCCATCTTCCAAAATGACCTTTCTATTTCTCAATGCCTTCCCAAGTGCTGTTCATCCTTCAGAGGCCAACTTTATGCAATTATTCAATGAATTCCACTGCTCTGTCTTCTAGTTTGTTGATACTTTTTTGTGCTTCAATCTGTTCCTGCTGTTTAATCTCTCTACTGAAATTTTCAATTCAGTTATTGTAGCCTTTTTAAAAATTTATTTATTTTTATTTATTATTTTAAGAGAATAAGCATGCCAGTGGGACAGGGACAGAGAGTAAAGGGAGAGACAATCCCAAGCAGGCTCCACACTGTCAACACAGAGCCCGATGGGGGGCTTGAACTCATGAACTGTGAGATCATGACCTGAGCCAAAATCACGAGTCGGACACTCAACTGAGTGAACCACCCAGGTGCCTCTCAGTATTGTATTATTTACCTCCTAGTGGCTCCTAGTGGTTGAAGATGTGACAAAACATGTCAGCATAATAAAGTGGAAGATCTCAGGCCACACCTAGATGAGATTCAGTCTAATGGGAAGTGAGACCTTAGGGTAGGATAAGACTGGGATATTGGTGTTTCTGCCTATTCCCTCTTTGTTGAGTCCTGAGCGTACAGGTAATTAAGAAGTTTGTTTGTTGGTGGTTGTTTACAGTCCCTTGAGACCTGTGAATGTAACCCTGTAGGCCACCAGAGTTAGGCAATCAGAGAAAGTGCCACTTGGGTGGTGGACACAATAGCTGAGGTGCCTGAAAATGCACAAAATCTTCACAGAGAGATGCCAGCAACCTGGAGCATGGCAGATAGATAACACAGTTACAGCACAAACCAACATCCTCAGTTTCTAGAGATTTGACTCAGCTTCTGGATGTGTGTTATGTTAGAAGTCTTGGCTTCAGCCTCCAACTATATAAATATGCAAATCAACTTCTGTCAAGAAATTACTGAGAGATAGGAACTTCTGTTTGCTGCCTTTGCATTGAACCATGAGGGCATAGCCAGTTTCTATGTTTTCTTCCATCCCTTGAACCTGTGAAACAAGCCCTACTGGATACCAGAGCCAGACTATCAAGGGATGTGTCCTCTTGTAAGCAACCATAAAAGCTGGGATGCAAGATATGTGCACAAACTCCTTTTGGCAAGATACTGACAATCTGAAATAAGGCAGAGGGAGAACAGAAAAGTGACATCTCTCAGCTTCCGAAATCATTAGAGAAAATTGTTGCCAGTCTCTAGATTCTTTTAAAGTTTTGTGTTTGACTCCCAGGCTGCATCTTTTAAGATATGCAGTAGACTGAGGCAATTTGTAAAGTCTTCCTCAAGAATCCTCCCCTTCCCTCCCCCAACCAGTTCTGGATGACCACAACATTTTTAAATCCCATTATTTGTGTTCTCTT